ACCTAGTATGTTCTCACATTAGTCAAACATATATTATATTTAAAAGACAATGTAACTTGATAATTGAATATATAGGTTATCATCACTTAATAATATATGTAATATTTTAAGCTTAAGTAAACAAAATTGAATATAAAGAATTTTTACAATCATTTAAGTAAATAAAAGTTTTATACTTAAGCATGTATAGTTCAAAATGAATATCGTTTAACTTGCATTCATCACTTAAAAGCTTGTTTATCTCACTCAAGCAAGCGACACTTTAAATTGTTGTTATACTTTAGCTTAAACAACGTTATACGTGTGTTTCAAGTTTTAATTTTTATTTTTTTGAGAAAATATTTTAATAGGTTTTATTTTTATAAAATAGTAAGATTTATATATATATATATATATATATATATATATATATATATATAAAATATCAATATTTTATTTTATATTAAAAATAAATTTATCTACTAACTTTTTATAATATTATAGATTATAATTATGATGTGATCAAGAAAATTAAAATATTTATTGTATATGTAAAAAAACATGATTATATTATAGAGAAAAATTGTATGTACATTATGTTGCATCATTTTAATTTTTTGAAAAAAATAAATCAAACACATAAATATTACATCATATACTAATTGTAATTCTCATTCTATCATGTATGATATTATCTTTACTTTCTTTATCATTCATATAATAAGAAGTAATATTAACACTTGCACTTTATTTGAACACTCCTCCTTGTTTACGATGGAAAGTTCCAATTAAAAGTAATGAGGGGGAGATTGATGAAAATGTTTCTGCATTCCCAAGAGATGATTTTGATGATGATTCAAGTCAACTACATTCAAGTCAACATCATTCAAGATGAATTTAAGGACAAGCTGAATTTATGACGTAGGTGATAAAGATGATGATTCAAGCAAGTCCAAGATGATTCCTGAAGACTAGATAGAGTCTTAGAATACTGGATATGGAGGTACAAGTTGATGAAGTAATATTATGCATAAGCCTCCAAAGTACAAGTGTGATAAAATTCATAACATGATATTTTTCACTGTCATAATTAATTATGATGCACCATAAATGAAAAAATGATTTTCTCTATCATAATTAATTATACTGGTAATATAATCAATTATGGCAATTCAAATTTGAAAAATATATCCGTTTTAAAGAATAAATGTTTTTTTAATACATCCTGATTTTCTCTATGATATTATTAATGTCTAACGACCATTTTCTGATGCTATTTTTCTATTTAATTAAGTTTTGATGAAAAATAAAAAACACACAATTACATAATTCGAAAATACAATTTACATTCAATCAATTTTGAGAAAAGAATTCTGAGCAAGACAACAGATATATTTTACACCTTTTGAGAAAACCCTCTTCTCTACTATCTTCTGTACTTTCATTGTTAATCACACTTGTTCTTGGAGATTGACATTCTACAGGCTTCTACAATTTGTTGTCTCCATTACCCAGGTGTGTCTATTCTTATTTTTATTACCTTCATCCCTTTTTGCATTGGTGGAAAATGAGGTGTTTTTCATCCCTAGTGTGATTCTAGGGAGGGGTTCATCCTTAGTGGGATTCTAAGGAGGTGTTTTTCATCATTTGATTTGTTCAGAGGAGGTGTTCATCCCTAGTGGAATTCTAGGGAGGTGTTCATCCTTAGTGGGTTTCTAAGGAGGTGATTGTCTTTTTAATTAGTTTACTTTTTACTGGTTCTTCTGCTGAGTTGATTGTAATTTGTAAACTGAATTTGAAAGATAGTGAATGGGGAGTCACTCTTGTGATAAGAGTTGACTAGGAACTGGATGTAGGGTTGGCAATACCCGAACCAGTATAAATCTCTGTGTGCTCTTTTCTTTTCCTTATCTCTTTCTCTTTTCCTGATTATATTATTGTTTCCGCTTTAACAAATTATTGACTCACAAATAAATTTTTAATTTGACATTTATTTTAATTTGTGCATCTATTCACCCCCTCTAGATGTCATTTGTCTAACACCAATCATATTGGGATGTTCATGCAATCAGAGTTGCATAGTACACACACGAATGCCACTTATGAAATATTTCAAGATAGATAAATAATATTTCATCCTGAAGATATATCTTACAAAGTGTCCATAACTAATGTTCATGGTCATTTAATTTACTACAATGTTTATTGTTCTTTCCTAATGTAATGTTGTGAACGAGGATGTTATAGAATATGACCTAGTTATTATAATGTCATTTTGTAATGGAAGTTGTAGATATATAATAACAATTTACAAATAATGGATAGCCGAATATCCCGGTATAGTTTTTGCATAAAGTGGATCAACTAAACGTATTGAGTTTTACACACGTCATAAATAATACTTGCAAATCTCGTACAACTGCGAGATATCAAGACAAATTTCTTTATCTCTTTATAGATAATGGAACTGAGGTTGATAATCACTATATATCAAAATTGAAATTGATGTGATCATGATCAAATATTAAAAAAGAAAAAAAAAAAAAAACAACTTTCACCGGGTGTGTTTAAGGTGAACAATCTTAGGATAAAATTGAATTCTTGTACAAATTAAAAATATATAAAAGTTAACAATTAAAAAGATTATTTAATTAAAAAATAATTATAATTTTAATTATATTCCTCATTTGCACTTCATCATATTTAAATTTTTTTACAAATTAAAACTATATAAAAGTTAACAATTAAAAAGATTATATAACTAAAAAGTATTATAATTTTAATTATATTTCCCATTTGCTTTCATCATGTATTCTACTTTAGCAAAAATTTTGTACTTTTCAACTTCGTTAACATTATATTTTAATTATCTTATATTTTGATTTTTTTTATCTTTAAACTTTAATTTTGAACCTTTTGTTCCAGCAATTTTATGACAATTATATTCAAGATTATAAACAATTGAGAATTTTTCCATAAATTGGAATTATGTTACTTTATTATTATACCCAAATTAATTATAAATTCTTTTTTATTTAAAATAATACGTAATAAGTATGTTTACATAGTATATTATTACTTAATATTATATTAATAATAAATATTATATATAATTTATATATATATATATATATAATTCATAAAAATAAAAATAAAAAATCAAATTCCACTTCAGATCTCAATAAGGATGATAATACAGGCTAGGAATAGTGCTACTCACCCAGAAAAAAAATCTATCCATTGAATATCAATTTTAAAATATCTATAAATTTTTTATATTTGTTTACAAATGTTTTTAATTTTACGTAAAATTTTAAAAATTATTTTATAAAATATATATTTTAATAGTTTTTCAATATAAAGTACAATTTAAATAAAATAAAATTATAAAATATTAATATAAATGAATTTATTCTTTATAAAATATTAATTTAAATAAGTTATAATATAAAATTTAAATTTAAATAATATTTTAAACAATAAATTTATAATAATTTAAATAACTTTAACTTTTAAATTTAGATAAAATATAAAACTTTAAATTATAATTTTAAATTGATGTTTTTAAAAAAATTGTTTTTAGTTTTAAAATATAGCATTTGATAAATAAAATCATATTTTACTACATTTCAAGAATTTAATTTTTTTAACTTTAAGGGCTAAAAAATTATTTATCCCAAATTTCATAAACTTAATATAATTGAACCATATTTATTAAATTTTAAAGATTAAAATATTTTATTAATTTAAAAAATAAAAAATTATTTTCTTTCAAACTAAAAACATAATTAAATCATATTTATGTATAATATATCAACACAAATAAAATTTGATTCAAATTTGAGTTGTAGCTACACATCAACATTAGATACTTGAATAATAAAAAAAACCTTTGGTAGAAGAAATGGTCCTATAACTCTTACTATAAATATATACGTGGTTATGATAAATAAAATTCTCATGGTTTTTACTCTTTTCAAATAAAATTTTCAGTAATAATTTTATCTTTGAAATCAAGTATTGTATAGGTTAAAAAAAATAATATATTTTTAAAATATTTTAAATTATGAAAGAAATTGCTTTAGTATTTACTTTTAAGTAATTAAAGTGTATAACAATGTACACCAAATTCAAAATAGGATGTATTTCAAATATTTACAACCCTCCATGTATAAAATATATATATATATATATATATTTTTAAGGAAATATATAAAAATATTATATACAAATATAAAAAAATATTATTCTCTGTACATAAGATTTTTTTTTAGTACATTAAAATAAGATATTTGATAAATGATTTAACTAAAAACCAAAAACTAAATATATAAATGAGATAGTAAAAAAAATAGCTTCTATAAAAAATATCGCCAATTCAAAGTTATTAGCAAGGATTTTAAATATTTATAGCTTTTATAAAAAAAATTAATGAAAATATATATATGTTATATATATATATATATATATATATATATATATATATATATATTTCAAGAGTAAAAAAGTGTATTTTAATATCAACATGTGTTTAGAATATTACAATTAAATTAACATTTAAATTCATTTTTAAAAATATAAAAATTTGATAGCTTAAGTCAAAATGATAGAGTTGCTTTTAAAAATAGTCTTATGTAATAAAATAAAACCATTTTTTATATATATGGCCACTTAACACTAATAGTTTTTTATATTATAGTTTTATTATTATAAATGGTTATGGAGTTATTATATATAAAAAATAATCATCACGTTATCCTTACTTAAAAATAAGAGTTTAGATTTCCATTTATTTGAAGGCATTTAGTAAAGTAAAAAGATTGTATTTTATTGTATTATTATTATTATTATTATTATTATTATAATAATAATAATAATAATAATAATAATAATAATAATAATAATAATAATAATGGTTCTGATTTTGAATCGTTGCTCTATTTTAAGTAATCTGGATGAGATATTGGTAACATTGGACAGCTTATCAGCAGGAGACGGCAGCCACTCATCTTTCTCTGCAAATGGAGATCTTCTCCTTCCTCTTCCTTACCCTTCTCCTCCCTCTCTATCTCTACTTCGCTAGACAAAAGCCCAACCAAACCAACAACAAAGGCTTTAAACACTACCCTCTCATAGGAACCTTACCGGAATTCATCAAAAACCGCCATCGCTTCCTTGAATGGACCACCCAAGTCCTCCGCGACTGCCCCACCAACACCGCCGTCTTCTCCCGCCCCTACAGCATCCACGGCGTCATTACGGCCAACCCCGAAAACGTCCAACACATGCTCAAAACCCAATTCCAAAACTACCCTAAGGGCGAACGCTTCATCCACCACCTCCAAGACTTCCTCGGCAACGGAATCTTTAACTCCGACGGTGAACTCTGGAAGGTGCAGCGAAAAGTTGCCAGCTATGAATTCAGTACCAAATCACTCCGTAACTTCATCGTCAACTCTGTCACCACCGAACTCCATACCAGGCTTCTTCCAATTCTCTCCAAAGCCTCAGAGACAAACAGGGTCCTCGATTTGCAGGACCTGCTCGAGCGCTTCGCCTTCGACAACGTCTGCAAGCTAGCCTTCAATGTTGACCCCGCCTGTCTCGACGGCGACGGCACTGCCGGCGCCGAGTTCATGCGCGCGTTCGAGGACGCCGCCGTGCTGAGTTCAAGGAGGTTCATGAGCGTGTTACCCTTCACGTGGAAACTAAAGAAGCTCTTGAACATCGGAACAGAACGGAGACTAAGAGAATCAATCACGACCGTCCACGTGTTCGCCGACTCGATGATAAGGTCACGATTAGAATCGAGAGAGCCCACCAGCGGCGACGAAGATTTACTTTCGCGTTTCATCAGAACAGAGGACACCTCGCCGGAGTTTCTCCGCGACGTCGTGATAAGTTTCATTCTTGCCGGGCGTGACACGACGTCATCCGCGCTCACCTGGTTCTTCTGGATTCTCTCTTCCAGACCTCACGTGATGAGAAACATTCGCGAAGAAATCGCAAGGGTTCGGTCCGCGACTCGTGGCATTGGCGCGTTCAGTTACGAGGAGCTGAGGGAGATGCATTACCTGCACGCGGCGATTACGGAGACAATGAGGCTATACCCGCCGGTGCCCGTTGACTCGAAGAAGTGTGAGGACGACGACGTTTTGCCGGATGGAACGAGGATTGGGAAGGGGTGGTTCATGTCGTACCACACGTACGCAATGGGGAGGATGGAGAGCGTGTGGGGAAAAGACTGCACGGAATTTAATCCCGAAAGGTGGTTGGAGAATGGCGCCTTCCGACCGGAGAGTCCGTTTCGTTTTCCGGTGTTTCACGCAGGTCCCCGAACGTGTCTTGGCAAAGAAATGGCTTATATTCAGATGAAGTCGATCGCAGCTTCCGTGGTGGAGAGTTTTGAGATTGAGCCACTCGATAAAGACACGTGTCCTGAGCACGTTTTGTCTTTGACTTTAAGGATGAAGGGAGGGTTGGCAGTGATGGTAAGGAGAAGGGATACATAAGCAAGTGTGCACATTAACACAAGCGTCTAGGGCACAGGTTGCAATTTCTTCTGTTTTCGAAATAGTTTTATAATTACGAAAATTTGCAATATAATTTGTTTGAAGTTTCTAAGAGGTGATGGAATATATACATGTAGTGTTTTTCTCTGTCAGACATACGACAGAGATAAATACAAAATCATATAGTAAAAATGAAAACCTTATAAAATGATTTTCATTAAATCATTAATTCCAAGTTTAATTTTTTACTTAAAGGAAAAGTGTGGTCGGAAGAGCATCGCTGTTGAAGAAAAAGCCAAACGATAGAAGAAAAACAAAGGAAGAAAAGTTATTGGACGTATTTGAATGGCTGAAAGTAGGGAGAGAAGAAGTTATTAAGAAAAAAACAAAAACAGGGTATTTTTATGAATGTTTAGTAACTGTCTTATGTAAATTTGACATGTATTAGGTAACCTTTTATAATATGCATTAGGTAAGTTTTTTAAATCCTATTTATAATATCTCTTTTGTTTTTTCCTTGTCCAGTGTAGGGTAAGCGAAAATTCTATATTCAAGGTTTGTGATATCGAAACTTTTCTATTCCTTTCCCTTTCCAACCATTTATATTTCTATGGCGTTCTGTTACAAAAATAACTTTTTTATTGGTTGCGGGAAATTAAAAGAAGTATAAAACTAATTAGGGAGACAGATTCGTAATCTCTATTATTCCTAGTAATTAATTATGAACAACGATCAAAGAATAACTTAAATGAGCGTGTAAGGTTAAAATTCAGTTTATTTAAATTTAATATTGTTAATGGAGCTCATCATCATTTTTTTAAATATTATATAGTTTTCTTTATCAGTTGAATTTTTTTATGCGATTAAAAAAAATATATTTTTCGTCAGTCTTGTAATCGACATAATACGTTGTTTTTTTTTATGTTATTTTATCAAACCCGTTATAAAAGAGGTAAAAATAATCGCATTAACAAAATTTTCCATGTTATTTGTAATTATAGTTTACATAGCAAAATTTTATATATATCGATAACAATTATATAATATTTTTTTATATTATTTTAGATTATAATCAATATAGAAAATATGTTTTAATTTTTTTCATTTTATAATTTTCCATATATCTTTGTAAATTATATAGAAAATTATATCTGTAAATAAAATATATATTTAATATATCTATATAATTTAATCATATTTCATATAAATTAAATTATCCAATAACACAAATTATTATTATTATTCAAGTTTAAAATAAAGTAAATAAATATTAATTAATTATATAAGTCTAAAAATTAACATATATATATATATGTATATTTAAAATTTAAGACCAAAATTTACTATTCAAATTTATGACATTAAAAAGATTTTACATTTATAGAGTCATAAATTCCATCAATTGTTGAGATTATAAATGTAATTTAGAATATATTTTTTTCTTTCAAAACTTAATTAATTTAAATTATGATACCATCCAAAAATTTTGGTAGATGATAAACACAAAGCTATATTTAGGACTCATTAAGGACACTATGAATAAGTCCTGATATCATTTGGACTTATTAATGTCTTATATTACATAATTTGATAATTTAACTAGTTTGTTTATGCTTCTGTATCATTTGGAGGAAGTTCTCAAACTGCAAAAAAACATAAATTATTTATTAAATTATCTAAATACTCTTTTGGTAAGTGAGTCACAGTATGCAAACGAAAGATTTAAACTATCATTGAAAGATCTCTTTGCATTAATCTTCAACAATTGAAAGAATATATGTCTCAATAACATCCCCGCTTACCAACTTGTCAAAGAAGAATATAGTTTTTTATGGAAATTAAATAACTTTTTTCTCTAAAAAATTAAATACCAAAATACAAAATCAGTCCATATACTAAAGAATTCTATGAAATTATATAAGTCATTGCTAAATTTTGACACTACCTTTTTAGACACCATTATCATCCGTACTAACCAACAAAGTTTAAAAAGCTTAATTGATCAAGCTATCCAAACACTAGAAAAACATAATTGACTTCACAAATTGTTAGGATGTGATTTCTTAATTGAATATAAAACCTGGTAAAGATAATAGAGTTGGAGACTCCCTTTCTTAATCATCTTATAAGGCATGGTCGAGGACCAAGTTACACATACTTAATAAATATGTCAAGTTGCAATCTATTACAACAATGTGTAAGGCTAAGACACCTTCTCCCTGTTGTACTATATATGATGATTTATTAATATGGAGAAATAAATTGGTTATTTCTCTTGGTAGTGATTCGATGAAGCACTTTCTATATGAATTTCATGATTTCTTGGTAAGAGGCCACGTGGGGTATGTTAGAACCTTAGCCAAATTGATACCTCCATTTTATTAGCAAGATACACATTTAGACATTAGAAAGTATATTTAAAATTGTATATGTGACAAGCCAAAACTGATTCTACACTTCCTACAAGGTTATTACAACCCTTACCTGTCCTAAAATAAATTTGAGAAAACATAACAATGAAATTTATCACAGACATTCTTTCTTGTCAAAGTTTTATAATAATTATGATAGTCATTAATGGACTATCTAAATATGTTTATTTCACTGATATTAAACTTTACTATACTAGTATGCAAGTCTTTATTAAGATGATTATTAAGTTATATATTTAAACCCTAAACCTACCACACAATCATTCGAATGTCTCCATTCAAAGTGGTGTATGGGAGAGATTTACCAAAGTTATACGAGTATGGTTATACTGCAGCTGATCCTATCTTTCTTCAGGAACAAATTTTGTAAAGGGATTTGGTATTTTACAAACTAAAGACCAATCTCCATAAATTTCAACAAGTTATAAAGAAATATGTTTATTTAAGAAGAAGAAATATTGATTCAAGTCGGGAGACATGATTTTAGTTAAACTACACCTATATATGCAACATTAAGTGGTTTCGAGGAGGAATCAAAAGTTGAGTTTAAGATTTTTTTTTAGGCATTTGCTAATAATTGAATGAATTGGACAAGTAGCTTATAGGTTGCTACTAAAAAATTAATCATGTTTTTCATTATTCTCAATTAAAATCTTATACATGAGATCTTACTCCACCTTATATTCTCTTATCATCTTATTTATTGTCTATTTAAAATTCAATTGACATACTATAGTTCATAATAATAGATAAGAAACCTCGATATCATGTAAAATATAAGTAAGAAGAATCCCTATATACCAAGTATGATACAATATCTTTTAAAACCTTATATAATTTTTATTTTAATCGTAGATCTCAATTCAAGATCTTATATATATATATATATATATATATATATATATATATATATATATATATATATATATATATATATATATATATATATATTAGTTCCATATTAAATTATAATTAATTTTTTTCAAAATATATTATAGAGTTATTAATCAATTAGATTTTAATTATTTTAAAATATAAAATAAACAAATAAATTAAATATTTATATTATATTAATAAATAATAATATAGTAAAAAATGATAAATTTTAAAAAATATCAATCATTAATTATAATAATAATAATAATAATAATAATAATAATAAAATTATGTTTTTAAATATTTTTATTAAAAGATTTATTTGATAATTTAATAAAATTACAATAAAATTTTTATTTATATTAATTTGAATTTATGTGTAAAAATAATATATATAAAAAAAAGATGTGTAAAGGATTTAAAATTAAAAATAAAAATAAAATTGTGGGTAAAAATAATTAAACTTAAAATTAAAAAAATTCAAAAGATTAAAAAATATATTTAATAAATTTTTTTTTACTCTTTCCTTTCGTCCCATCCCATCTCATCCATGCTCTCTTTTTTATTTTATTTTTTATTTTTTCTTTGTCTTTCTTTGTTTTCTTACTGAGTCTTTCCCTTCTGTCCTTAGTAATTCCTTTTCGTCTATTTCTCTCACTCAACAGTTTTGTTTATTTAATTTGGTGGTAGTTGGTTGTCTTCATATTCTCCATATTCTATTATAATATATATATATATATATATATATATATATATATATATATATATATATAGTTTTTATTTCTTTTTTTAATATTTGACCCATCTTCAAGGATTCTTGTAAGAGATATTTCTTTGTTTTAAAGCAGGATTTTACAAATTTTAAAGCTTGCAGGATAAGATTTTACATCAAGATCCTGCGATAAAGATGACATAATACTAAATACAAAGAATTATACATATTTGATTTCATTCTCTTAATTTTTTGGATTCCCACAGATTATCCACACAACAATTAAAATGACATTGAAATTATAAAATATGCAGTGGCCTTTTCTTTTATAGCAAAATCATTTTCTCAATGATACATAGTATCATGGATAGTTTGAATCCACTCTCGTACTTTAAAGTTAAAAAAACAAAAAACAAAACCCTAAATCATATTGCTGGAGTCACAAATCAAGCAATACCAAATTAAAGAGAACAACACGAGTGTTCTGAATGTAGCTTTTGAGAATATATAAGTTGAATCCTGTGATAAAGAGTATACAATTTGAAGCAATGGATTTATTTGATTTTACTTTTATTTTCTGAATGAAATTATGTCTTTATTTGCCTTTCTTTTCATTGAAAAGGTTGAAGATGTTTTCGTTACGGATCAAAATTTTTAAAAGCGTTTTAAAAATTATTTGTATTAATTTTTTTAAATAAATTTTGCATATATCAATATTCCTATATGATACAAATGTTATATCTTATTCAAAATTTATATAGAATTTAACTACTACATCTATTAAATTGTATTTAGTTTTTGTGGTATAAATCATAATAATTAAAAATGATAGTATCTTATAACTGTTAAAAAAAACTCTATTATAATGTTGATCATCATTAATAATAATAAAAACTATATATAAAATCAAATGTTTAAAACACATGTTGAATTGTTACTGTTAATAATAATAATAATAATAATAATAATACAATGTTAAAATATTAAAATTCATAAAAATAAGAATAAGTGTTTATCATTTTACTACGTTAAAATGTTAAAACTCATAAAAAGGTATTTTTATAATCAAATTAAAACTAAAGCATAATTTTATGAGTGTGCATAATAATAATTTATATCCTTAATTAATAATTTAAATAAACTATTATTAATGTATTTTAAATTTAACAATCTATTTATTAAATTATTATTTTTCTAGTATAAAAGCGTTGTATGACCAAATAAATACAACTACATGACCTCATCTTTTTTCATTAATTAAATTCTACAATGATAAAGATTTTGGTTGCTTTTTGACATGCCAATTATGTTTGACTTACAGTTTAAACACCTAAAAAAGTATTAAACTTCAAACTGGACCCAATTAATTGGCTAAATCCCAAAAAATATAAAATAATTTCTTTATGTATTAAGATTTATTTAAAAAACTATTGTTTCTTAAATATATTGCATATACAATTATCCAAAAATAATTTCTGACTACAAGAATTATTTTTGTTAACATTAAAATAAAGAATATATATTATATACCAACTTCCAAAAAGATGTTAAAGATATCAGATTATTGATAGTTTAGAATATATATAAGGTAATATAAAGACAAAATATCAATATAAGATCAATGATTCAAGAATTGATAAAAGAAGATATTAGAATAAAATAAAAAATCGAAAAAGATAAGAGATATATAAAAAAGAGTTATAAAATCGAGAAAAATCGTGGAATACACGGTTATAACATCATGTATATTAATAGAACATCATGAAAATGGCAAAAACTATTAATTAGTAAAGAAACTTGTACCTATCGGCACAAATTCATTAAAATCACTTTATTTATTTAATTATCTTATTATATATTATCTTTTATATGTTATTATTTTGTATAATATCTTATATCAATTATTATTTGTTGAAGTATCACTTATTATATTTTGGGTTATTCTTATCTTTTTTTTCTTATATAGGTTATTGCTTACTGCACCCCATAGTTATATTAAACTTCGTTTTACCTTTACACTTATCTTCATCTTCATTTTTTTGAATGTATGTATTCCGGAAAAGCTTTTCTAGAACACCTAATCTGAATTATATTTCTAGAAATACTTTTCAGCGTATATTCGTATTGGATTTTTCGAAAACATATTCCAAAATAATCAATCCGGAATACATTTCCAGAATTCATTTCCGGAATTCAACCTCATTTTCACGATATTGTTTCAAATTGAGCAATTTGAGTGCAGAAACATATAATTCATACATAATATTAACGATTACTTATCTTTAATTATTAGAAAAGGCCTTCAATGGAGGTGATAACACCAAAATCAAATTGCCAAATGATGAAGGTGTTGAGGGATAGAGGTGCAGAAGTTGTACACAAATAGAAGAAGAAATTAAGGTAAAAAACAAAATTATGGGAATGATATTTAGATATTTGACTTGGGATATGGAGGTGCAGGGAGAAATCTCCTATACAAAGAGACTTAGCTAGGGAGTAAATATCACATTATCATTCATTTTTAAATACATTACTCCCTTATCTAAAAGCTGACTTGAGCGTTATAGTACCTTTTGCAGGTGAGTCTCTCCTCTTTTCAAAGGAAACTACTTTAAATCATCTTAAAGTCATACAAAAATCTGATCTATCGATTTCCTCAATCCAACTTCACACCCTATTGCCTACTTTCACCAGTCCGATAAGAACATTTGATGTTCTCTGTGGGCCTTGATAAAATGATCTTCATAATCTTTTCCATGCCATTAGTCTGCATATACCTTATTCGGGTCAAATGAGTATAAAAATTATACCTTACTCAGGGTAACATATGTTTAAAAGTTATACCTTACTCGATGTTACACGAGTATAAAAGTTGTATCTTATTCGGGGTTACACGAGTATAAAAATTATATCTTACTCCGGGTAACATGAATATAAAAATTGTACTTTACTCAATGTCACATAAGTATAAAAATTATGTCTTACTCAGGGTCACATGAGTATAAAAGTTGTATCTTATTCGAGGTCATACGATTTTAAAAATTATACCTTACTTTGGGTCACACGAGTATAAAAATTATACCTTACTCGGGATCACATGAGTTATACAAGTTATACCTTACTCAGAGTTACACAAGTTATAGATATCTTAGTTGGGGGTACATAAGTTATGCATACCTTACTTTGATATATGAGTTATCAAAATAATCATTTACCTTACTCAAGGTCATATGAGTTATAATATCTTACTCAAGTATCAAAATATGTATCTATCTTACTCAGGATCACATGAGTTATATATACCTTACTCGAAGTCATTCAAGTTATTAATAATTTACTTAAATATATGAGTTATCAAAACATTCATCTACCTTATTCGAGGTTATACGAGTTTTATATAATTTTCTGTATCAATTTCTTTTTTATCATTGGTAATTTACAATTTTCAATAATTTTCTCTTGTAATTTATATTTTCTCATTTTATATTTGCTTTTGCTAAATTTAGGTTTTTATTTTAAAATACTATCAAATCGAACAATGTTCAAACTCATGCTTAATATCCAAATTTACATTTAAATATTTTATAAATATATTTATTAAAAATATATTATAAATATTGACTTTATATTAATGGTTGAAACATTTTTTCCGATAAACAGTCTAATTTCCCTTTTCAATTTCAATATTTACGAGAGTTAATAATGTTTTCATAGTTAGTCCACGTGAAATGCGAATAGTTTCTTATTCAATTAAATTTTTCATGGTATTTTATAATTGAAGAGAAAAAATGTAAAAAAAGAAAAAAAGTAATATACTGTTCATTCCATTTTTTTAATTTATTAAATAAAATTTCAAATTTAAAATTTAATAGACATATTTGTATAATTTCTAGTATTTTATTTGTTAATAAGAGTATATAGTTGAATTAGAAAAAGAAAGTATAAAAGAATAAAAGAGTATTATTTTTTTAGGACCGAGAGGGTAGAAGTGCAAAAATAATACTTTGACCGATATATATTGCATAAGAAATATTCATTTCAAGAATTATTTTATTGCACAGTAAAATAGATATTGAATTTATTTTTATTTTTTTTAAGAAAAAACACGTTATCAATGCACTAGGCAAACTATTAATGAAAGTTTTATAAATACCAATTAAAACATATTCATTAAATTGACAAAGATGGAGAAAATTAAAATTACCTTCCTGATAACTGGGTGGTGCATGCTCCTCATGATTACTAGATTAGGTCAGTGACAACTGTTTAAGAAAAATAATTTCAAAAACAATTCAATTTATTAATATAATAATTATAAAAATAATTTAATTATTTTTATCTGTCATTGCATTTCCTTCATTTCACACGTTAACTCTTGCTAAGGGTACGTTTGGATCAAAACAGAAAGGTGAATAATGTAGATTGGCAAAGAAAATTAATCTTTCCAAACAAAATAATTTGTGATTTCTGACAAAAAAATTTCTTCACGACGCTGATGAGAAGAAAGTCGCCGAAAGTTTACATTATATTATATATAATAATAATAATAATAATAAATATAATTATATCAATAATTAAAATAAAAATAAGTAAAATAATTATGACATCTAAATTATATTATTAATAATAATTTTTATTTAATTATAATTAAATTATTTTTAAATTTTTATTAAAATAATTTTTTATCATTTATATAAATTAAATCAACTTTCTTTAATTCAAACACACCCTTTCTCCTTAAATATATTCATTTTCACTCCCTCAAATGTATTATATGATCCAATAACACCCTAAATGGATTGCCCTCCATCTTCTCTATTTTTTATTGGTTATAGTGAAAACTATTATTGGCCTGAAAAAGTTCATGAACTTCAAAAAATATAATAAACACACAAATTAATACTCAACGGTTGAGTATACTGAAAAATACTCTAATACTCAAATTAATAAATATGAGGTATACCACACATGACACATGATCATAAACATAGATCAAATATAAACTCACACCCTTATATATAGATAATGGTGGTTAAGGGTTGAAGCATGCCATGGAGGAAGAGAAGAGAACTCGCCTTTAGAAGCCATCCCTTGCTCTTACCCTCACTGGCAACCCTCCCTTCATCCTGAGGGTCAAAGACAACACAGGTTCTGCACACGTGTCGTTATTAAGTGCCTCAATCTCAAACCTCTCCATCACGGAAGCTGCGATCGACTTCATCTGAATATAAGCCATTTCTTTGCCAAGACACGTCCGGGGACCTGCGTGAAATACCGGAAAACGAAACGGACTCTCCGGTCGGAAGGCGCCATTCTCCAACCACCTTTCGGGATTAAATTCCGTGCAGTCTTTTCCCCACACGCTCTCCATCCTCCCCATTGCGTACGCGTGGTACGTTACGAACCATCCCTTCCCAATCTTCGTTCCATCAGGCAAAACGTCGCCGTTCAGACACTCCTTCGAGTCAATCGGCACGGGCGGATACAACCTCATTGTCTCCGAAATTGCCGCGTGTAAGTACTGCATCTCCCTCAGCTCATCGTAACTGAACACGCCAACGCCGCGGGTGCCCGACCGAACCCTTGCGATTTCATCGCGAATTTTTCTCCGCACGTGAGGTCTGGAAGAGAGAATCCAGAAGAACCAGGTGAGCGCGGACGACGTCGTGTCACGTCCGGCGAGAATGAAACTTATCACAACGTCGCGGAGAAACTCTGGGGAGCTCTCCTCTGCTTTGATGAACCTCGAAAGTAAATCTTCGCCGTCGCCGGTGGGCTCCTTGGCTTCCAATGTGGACCGTATGATGGAGTCAGCGAACTCGTGGACGGAGATGATTGATTCTCTGAGCCTTCCTTCTGATCCAACGTTGAACAGTTTCTTTAGTTTCCAAATAAACGGTGTCACGCACATGAACCTCTGTGAACTCAGCTCGGCGGCGTCCTCGAAAGCGCGCATGAACTCGGCGCCGGAAGCGCCGTCGCCACCGAGACAGGCGGGGTCGACATTGAAGGCTAGCTTGCAGACGTTGTCGAAGGCGAAGCGCTCGAGGAGGTCCTGCAAATTGAGGACCCTGTTTGTCTGTGAGGATTTGGAGAGAATTGGAAGAAGTCTGTTTTGAAGTTCCTCGGTGACGGTGTTGACGATGAAGTTATGGAGTGATTTGGTGCTGAACTCATAGCTGGCGACTTTCCGCTGCACCTTCCAGAGTTCGCTATCTGAGTTGAAGATTCCGTGGCCCAGGAAGTCTTGGAGGAGGTGGATGAAACGTTCGCCCTTTGGGTAGTTTTGGAATTGGGTTTTTAGCATGTGTTCCACGTTGGCGGGGTTGGCGGTTAGAACGGAGTGGGTTTTATAGAAATGGGCGAAGACGGCGGTGTTGTTTGGGCATTCGCGGAGTACTTGGGTGGTCCAGTCGAGGAACCGGTGGCGGTTTTTAAGGAATTCCGGTAAGGTTCTGATGAAAGGGTAGACTCTGAAGCCTTTGTTGGTTTCGCGGGACTTTTCTCTAGCGAAGTAGAGACAGAGAGGGAAGAGAAGGGAAAGGAAGAGGAAGGAGAAGATCTCCATGTGTCTGAGATGTGCACAGAAAGATGATACTGCTGCTAAGTGTCGTGTGCATTTATACAAGGCAGTTTTTTTTTTTTTTTAATACACCATTTCAATTAAATATTTTCTTAAATTAATGCGGAATCAAATTATTTTTGAAAGTAAAGGTGAAGGGAATGGATTTCTCCCATAAAATTAATTTTGTTTGTTTCAAATTGAGGGTGAAATATTAGTTGACAGTGAACCAATTTCTTAACTGCATTTTTTTTTAATTATCAAATTTTGAATAACTTTAATTAATTAAATATTTCAAATCAATTATAAAATAAATAATATAAATTTTTAATTGTATTTTTCTTTCTATTTTTTAGATTTTTGCAAATAGGTTTTGTAATGATTTAATTATAATTTTTAATCCAAAATAAAATAGAAATAATAACTATTAATATTATCGTTATGGTATTTTTGAATAACTATTACTTATTTAGTTATTTCAATTACATATTAATCTTATTTATATTTATTTATTTATTTTCAGTCTTGTATTGGTCCTATTTTAATTATTTATTGTTACTAGTCTTGTTTTATATTTATTTATTTATCTCTATACTTAGTCCTATTTAATTATCTCCGGTTATATACTAGTTCTGCTTTATGTTTATTTATTTATTTCTAATTATGTATTGGTCTTATTTTAATTATCTCCAGTTATATACTAGTCATGCCTTATATTTATTTATCTTCAGTCATATATTAACCCTATTTTAATTATTTCAAATTATACACTAATACTTATTTATTAATTTTGTTTGTTTCAAATTGGGGGTGAAATATTAGTCGAACCAATTTCTTAACTGCATTTTTTTATTATTATCAATTTCTAAATAACTTTAATTAATTAAATATTTCAAATCAATTATAAAATAAATAATATAAATTTTTAATTGTATTTTTTTCTATTTTTTAGATTTTTGCAAATAGGTTTTGTAATGATTTAATTATAATTTTTTATAAAGATATAAATTTGAAATAATTTTGAATCCTGATTTATTTTTAAAATAAAATATAAATAGTTATTATGGTATTTTTGAATAACTATTACTTATTTAGTTATTTCAATTATTTATTGATCTGATTTATATATTTTTTTTTTAATCTTGTATTTACCCTATTTTAATTATCTATCGTTACTGATGTTGCTTTATGCTTACTTATTTATCTCCATCCTATCATCCCAAGCTCCACCAATAACTAAGATTGATCGGACTTGGATAATCTATCAATTGTTGATTAACTATGGAACATATAGGTTATTTAAGAAGAGAGAATTGTCGGTTCATTAGAGTATTTTTCTATTTATCTTCTTGTAATGATAATTCAGTTCCCCCACCTCCTTTTAGTTTTGGGGGCCTACCTACATACATAAATAAATAAAAAATTCATTATTGTAACCAAGCCCCCTTTTGCCTTGAAAGAATTTGGTTTTGATGTGCTTGAATCTTTTTCTTTTATTTCTTCTTTGTTAATTTGTCTTTTTTTTATTATTATTATTTGGGTGAGAGTGTATACAAAATAATTATTGTATAAAAAATAATTATTACATAAAAATAAATATATTATATATTTAATATTTTTATTTAATTTAAATTTTAAGAAATAAAATTTATATATTCTATCATTTTTTTCTAAAAAAAAATCTATAATTTTATTTTTAAAATTCAAACTAATTTCATTATAAAACATTAAAATAACTAACTAATTTATAACCAATAAAAAAATTTATATCAATATTTTATATTTTTACAATACATTATACTTGTTATAAATATAAACAAAAATCATAATAAAAATAAATTTGTTTATTTTTTTATTTCAAAATAATTATGGTGAAATTTTTTCCCTATTTTTAAATTTTTTTATCTTATATCTTCTCCAATGAAAGATAAAAAAATTAAATAATAAAAAATATATAATTTATATATTATAGAGATAAAATTATAAAAAAAATGTCTTTTTGAATAAAAGATGAAAAATTAAAAAAAAAATTTAAGAATAAAAAATACAAATTTTTATGTTATAAAATGAAATTGTAAACAAAAATTAAAACTCAAAGAAAAAATGTATATTTTTATATTATAAATGAGATTGTGAAAGAAAAAAATATGATAATTAATGAGTGATAAAAAATAAAATATAAAAATGTGAAAAGATAAAATGGGTATTTAATAGAATAAATTACAGTAAAAAAATAAAATGGTGAGAAAAAAAGATAAAAAATCTGAAAATAGAAAAAAAAATATAAATACAAATTATATAAAAAATATGATATTTATTATAAATAAAAAGTAAAAATAAAATAAAAATTTTAAATTTTTATTTATTTATAAAATATTTTTTATTTATTAAAAAAATTATATATATATATATATATATATATATATATATATATATATATATATATATGTATATAAACATTCTCGATTGTCTCGTATGTGATAAAAAAAAACTTTTTTTTTGTTTTTTATCATGTTTTTCTCATTTTTTTATCTAAATCTCATTTTTTAATTTTTATTTTTGGATATTTGTATACTTATGGGTATCCATAGATTCATTCCTGCAGATATTTTTTTATTTTTATTTTAAATATTATTATTGAAAAAATATTTTAATAAATTTTTATTAAAAATATGATTTAAATAAAATAAATTTATAAAATATTAATTGTAATAAATTATAGTATAAAATAAATTTTAATATATTAAAAAAAATTAATTTCATAAAAAAAAAAAAATATATATATATATATATATATAAATTATAATTTTAAATAAATCTTCAATAATTAATTATTATATTTATCAATAATTTATTTTAAAAAATATTAAATAAATTATTTTAATAAATATTCACAAATTAAATATCATCATCTCCTATCCATTCAGTTAAGAAACGAGTAATTAAAATATTTGTAATTATTATCCTTAAACCTCCATCTAAGATTTCCATCAACATGACAAATATAATTTATTGACAGATCTAAGATTCTTAATAGGACAACTCACTAATAGATTTAAGATTTTAAGTTAATAAGATAATTTATTTTTTAAAAATATAAATGAATAATAATTAGTATCATACATTAAACACTGATCAACAAATTTAAGTATATAAATTAAAAAAGATAAAATAATTTAATTCAGATATTTAATAATTTTAACAAAATCAACAAATATAACCGTACTAATTTTATTAGTGCGTTAAAATTAAGAAGAAAACCCGCATGTAAGTTTGGTCCATAATTTAATGTTACTTGTTTTGACACGACTGTTTATTTAACCCATGGCCTAATAACTTACCATAATTCACCAAAACCTTCCTTAAGATTGCCCAATTAACAAATCAATGTTGCTGTAGAGGTCCTAAGTAATATAATCAAAAGAAAGTAATTAGGAAAAATAAATGAAAATAAAAAATAAATAAAAATAGAGAGATATTAGGCCTTTAGAGAAATTTAGCAGTTTAATATAATTGCTTTGTAGTCGATAATTCAATGAATTTAGGTACACCAGAAAAATAACTTTCTTAAATCCAAGTTCATTTAATTGGTCAATAAATAACCACACAAAATAAGTCTTAACTTTGTAACTTATGGCCCTAAGTTACTTCCCTATCTTTTCAACGTGAGGGAGTTGACTTTACAAGATGTAAAATTAGTATAAATATTTACCTATCTATCATATCAATTTGAGGGCACCGACTTCTCATAAATCCAAACTTGTATGTAGAATAATTTTTTATTGTACTTATCCATTTATAATATACACTCTCATGCTAATTATAGTTAAAACTATATTTATAATTATTTTCAAATAATTGATAGGGAAAAGTTTTAAATTAAACTCTATATATCCATATATTATTTTTCTTAATTTTTTTCCTTCATCTTCTTCTATTTTTTTTTCTATTTCATCACTTTTTAAAATTCTAAATATAGATTTGAGAGAGAAGATTAAAAAAAAAATTGCTATTATTTTTAGATAGAAATAAAGTATGTATAAATTTTTTTCATCCAAACATCGAGCCACGGAATTAGGGATGGCAATTAAACCCGTACCGTGGGGATCGACCCGTCCCCGTCCCGAGTTTGACGGGAAAAACCCGAGTTGACCGGGCGGGGTCGGGTTCGGGTTTTCCCCGCTTTAAAAAGTTGGGGCGGGGATGGGTAATGTAATCCCCACCCCGACCCCGCCCCGTCTCCATCCCGACTTTATATTTAAATTTAAATTTTAAAATATTAATATTTTTAAAGTATTTCATTTTCTTTTTCTATTATATATAAGATTATTTTTTTATATTTCACAAATTTTTATTTTTCTTCTACCCACTTTTTAATTTTTTTATCTTTTTTCAATCTTTTATATCAATTAATTTATTATATTATTCTCTCCCTTATCTTTCAGCTTTTTCACATTTTCTTAGTCTCTCCCATCAATTTGTTTTTTTTTTTCAATCTTTTCAACCATTTTGATGAACACAAAGTTAATATTTTTTCTTTTTCTTTTTCTAAATATTTTACATCAATCTTAGTAATAACTAATATTAGTTTATTTATAATTTATATTTATTATGTCATATTTTTTTATCTTATTATGCTTATTTATCATATATCAAATTTTATCTTAATAAAATAATTGCATTTTAAAGGATTAAAAGAAATTAATAATTTAAACTTTTATTACTTCAAACTAATTAAATAAGAATTAACTTATTAAATATTTTTTTATAAACTATTGGCAACTTAAAAATGAATTAACTTATATGTATAATTAAATATTTGAATACAGTATTATAATAATAATGTTATAAATATTCAAATATTTGAATACAGTGTTATAATAATAATAATAATGTTATAAATATTATATATATATATATATATAAATAAAAAATAATTAAATATTTCTTTTACATATATATTTTAATATAAATATAATAAATTAAAATGTATATTTAATTAATAA